TAAGCAAATTATACACGAGGCGAAAAAAATGAAAGCTTTGTAAATTTTGTTTTCTTTACTTGAACTCTTTCTTCTCCTATTATTTCCGTAAAAAAAGCGGAGTAAAAGCAAGAATTCAGTTTGTGTTTAGTACTTTCAAATGCGCTTTTTCTTGTGGTTTGTGAAAGAACTTTTTAGAGCAGATGGTGTGCTTGAGAATCAAGTTTCTTACTAGATGAGCTAACGGGGTCAATCAATCGTCATTTTGTAGAGCGTTTTTTACTGCATCTTTTCTTCATAGAGACAAATTTACAACCGCTTGTTTCACTATAGAAAAACTTATTATTCAAATCGAGTCAGAACTTCTGGCTCACCCTTTATATAGTGCGCACTTGCAGTCGCCTGACAAAGAAAAGAAAGAATTTAGGTAATTAACCGTATACTATTGGCACTGTCCTGTAAATTGAACAGCTGGCAAAAGTGGAGAAAAAGCAGGAATTTCCACGCTACCAGTTTTTCGCTTATTGCTCGAAAAGTAGACTTTATTCCAAAGAGCGAACTTCAGATTCGGACTCTACGCAAAATAACGAATCAGAATATCTATACCGTTTCTTCCCAAACCACCCCGCTGGAAAATAGCCTGATTTGCTATGCTTCGTTGTTATTATGGGTTTGTACATGGAATAACTACCATATTTCCATATTTTGTGTACAGACAGACAGACAACCCTTTTGTAAGACCCTAGACTAAAGTCAAGGGAATAGTAGAGTAACGCAGTAGTTAAGTTTTTCAATCTCTTGCTCACCCACAGTGTGAAATGAGCGCCCTCTATTAAATTTATTTTATTATTTACTGATATTAAATTCGGTATACCTGATGACCATGTCTGAGTCGTCTTCTACATATCTGCGACATATGAGTGAATAACGTTTATGATCTCTCTTATGATTGGCTTGCCCACGGAATATCTAACAGCCATTTTTCCATATTTTGCTTGCACACAGACAGGTACACTGACAACTATTTTGTAAGACCCTAGACTATAGTCAAGGAAAAAATGCTGAGCATAGTTAACAGCCAAGAAGCAGAAATTTAATCAAAGTGATGGTAGTTTTAGCGACAGGGAATATCAACAGCTTTAAGAAAAGGCTTCGCATATCACCGGAAGAAAAACAATAAAGTTGGTTTTGAGTTGTTGAAAAGTGCTTTTTTGTATCCAATACACGCGATAACCCAGAAGATTTTTTATTTTTGACGAGAGGTGCTTCCGTTCAGAAAAGTTCAGAAAAGTTTTCAAATTAATATTTTTTCCCACGAAAATTTTTTTGCATCGTTTTGTTTTCAAAATTTTACTTAGCTTTTGAAAAGTATCTCTCGCCAAAAATAGAAAATTTTCTGGATTATCACGTGTGTTGGCTCGAAAAAGTACTTTTCAGCAACTCAAAAACAACTTTATTTGTTTTCCGGTGATATATTTCTAATGAGAATTTTAAGCAAAATAGTTTACCACTACATTTTCCATGCTTTCCGTGCTAAAATCAGAGTAGAAATTCAATTTTCAAAGTGGAAAACTACGTTGCTTTCACGGGGTAAAAATAAAATGTTTTTCTCTATTTTACAACCTTTTTCTGATCTACTCGAAGAAAATAAATGAAAATTATTATGTGGATATATCATAGATTAAAAAATAGAAGAATAGGGGACATAATAACCTTTATATATGTCTAAATTCGTAATTTTTGTTTCTTTTACATTTATACTACTCGATTAAAATGCAAAATATTCTTAAATTGTGCTTTGTAGATTTGGCTTTTTGACGGTTAGATAATAAATGAATTCTTTCATAAAAACAGCTGGTGCCAATTTTGAAGGTGGTAAAATTATCAAACATATGACAAGGGATTCTAATTGTAAATTCACATCAAATATACAGATCGGAATGGATGCACCGTTTTTTGGTGAACCAGCTGGAACCGATATCAGAGAGAAAGGTCCATCTGAAAGACAATTTGGCTCATATGACAGAAATATAATGATTCGCGACATAAAAAAATGTTTTAATAAAGCTAATGAAATCATGACACAAAATAGAATTGTTGATTTAGTTGTACAAATAGCTAGAGGTAGAAATGGGCTGATATTTTTACAAGATGACATTTTGCCAGTTTTGCAGAGTATTTTCATGATTTCTAATACGTCTACAATAGATCTAAACGAACCTAATATCCAAAATTATAATTTTGCCAATGGTGGACGCCTTTATATTACGTTTGGCTATCGAACAACCGATTATTTTGATTACACTAAAATGATAAACGAATACATATTTATGAACATTGGTATGTTTGCTCGACTAACAGAAAATCTGACAGCTGGTCAGGTTTGTATTCCATCGGCAACATACGATGTAGTAAAAAACGGCATGGACTTAACTGTTCATGCCGTAAATTATAACTATTTTGATTTTTGCTTCAATTTGGGTTTGATGCATATCAACTTGTTTGGAATTGCTGATAACATGCCATTTATCACAACTGATGATTACACATTGGAAGATTTTATGGAATTAATTAATAATAATTATCAATAATTATGAATAAACGTTGAAGTCTTATTTGATGTAACGAGCATGTTTCCGGAGTGACGAATCATATAAAAGAAAGAAATATTCTATCAGAACTGTATGAAGTCATGGCAAATCGAAAGTCACATTCGTCATGATAGGTAAACTTAGTAGTGAATAACTTTATAAGAATAAAAATATATTGCGATAAAAATATTTTATTTCTTGAAAAAAATAAAAATATTTTACTTTTATCGTTGACCATTTTACGGCTTTTTATACTGCTGAAGTGTAGAAAATCTCGGCGATGACATTTTTTCATTATTGTTAGGGCATTATGTCCTGAAACCTATCGAATCGTCTCTTAGTGGAAAATTGCCACTTTCATACAGACTGTTGTGTCTTGCTAGCTCAGTAATAAAGAGCATTAGACCAGTGAACCAACGTGCAGGGTTCGATTTCTAATCGAGGTATATGTTTCCTCTTTCAAAAATTTCAATTTTGACAAAGATCTTCTATGCCCAATATACTTGTACAAGAATCCTGTTAGATGCACGAGCATGTTTCCTACAGACAAACCATTTTTCCAGATTAAGTTTTTGTATGTGATTCCGGATGTGAAAGAAAACCTTTGAAAACACCGCTCAGATAAAATTATTTTATTTCTTGAAAAAAATAAAAATATTTTACTTTTTATCGTTGACCATTTTACAGCATTTCATACTACTGAAGTGTAGAATATTTCCACGATAAGATTTTTCGATTATTCTTAGGGTATTATGCCCTGAAACCTATCGAATCGTCTCTTACGAGGGAAGAAATTTGAGTGACCCCTCTAAGAAAAGAGACGAGACCTAGCCTATTAAGAAGGAGTGAAAAAGAAAAACTTATGATACAAGATCTCTCAAAATGAAGTGTTTCTTAAGGTAATTGATATACTGATTTCACCATGTTTTACCCGGTTTTCTCTTCGTGAACAGAATGCTTTAATTCCGCTTTACAAAAGTTAAAAAGCCGGGTTAAAATCAGCAGTTGCTTGGATACGACAGGTTAGGACAGCTCGCCGCTGTCTATTTACATGAATACTATACCTGCGCTTAGGAAAACGTGTTTTCTTTGTGGACTTCAGCCTCAGAATAATATAAGTTATACCACCAACTTTTCCGCTTAAATATAATCTGTTTGTATTCTTCATATACAATTCTTCCATTTAAATATATAGACAACAATTTAGGTGACAAATAATGGTATACCAGATCGATAGAGCGCATTGCGATCTGCGAGAGTATATTCAAATCATTGAAAAATACATAAATGCTACATGCTTCTTGACATTTCTCCTACTATGGGCATGCACAAGACAGGGACATGCAGTGAAATATTCAGGTAAAGTCATCCTCATCAATCGCTATTGATCGACTGAGTATCGCATCGCAGTCGATGTTCAAACTCTGGATCAACGTTTGTCTAGAAAAAATTTTTTTTCTTTTTGGGCATAGGGTACATTTTCTCAAAAGTTCAAATTTTCCAATGCCGAACAAACATCAGCATCATCTTAGCGTTGCAGTTAGGTTCCCTTTACGTGAGAAAATGCATATTTCAAGCCCAGTGTTTTTTGTTTTTATAAGTCGGGCTTGCCAGCTGAAGTATCACGAAGTTTTCGTAACCAGAGAGTCTGTTAGAAAACGTTTTATTTATCTGAACATGAATTCTGGCAAAAACTTTGCAATATCTTTTGTCCTAGTCCAGATGAGTCAGAAATTTTGAAAACAAAAGAAAGATTAAATTAAACCCTTTAAGGAGCTCAAAAAAACCTCCCATCATCGATCTCTGTCACATAAAATTAAACAAAGCTTACTGTTTTAATGAATGTCTCACGACGTTTGTATTTACTTTGAGCTCGTTTAACCCAGTCTTTTTTGAATGTTGCCTTTATAGGGCCTGTATGATGTTGTTCATTTGATGACATGAAGTTTTTTTAAAGCTAATAATGATAATTATCTTTTTCTTTATTACTTAATAATAATAATAAAAGCTGCGTTGAATAAACTTTTACTATCGATACGAGTGTTTCTATGTTATACTGCGCTCCTGATGATTTTCTTGTTCTCCTTCCATATGTTAGCAGAACAACTGTAGCCCAATCGGGATATGGTTTCACACTGTCTGAGGTTTTGAGCTCGTTCTGATATTTCTTGAGTGAACAGTGCATTTTTTTTATATTAGTATCCATTGCAGGTAAGCCACGATCAACCCTGCTCAATCGTCTTTCTCCAAACTTGATTTCAGTTACATAGGTCAAAAGTGCAATCAACAGCAAGCTTTTTACCGCAAATAGCATTGCAGCATTGATTCATCTCAGTGACAAAGTATGGTATACCAGTTTATAGAGCTCATTGAGATCTGCAAGAATATATGGAAATTATTGAAAAATACATAAAGGCTACAGAAATACTGAGCAAAAAACAATCAAAATGACTGTGAATGGTGAACATCCGCTTCTGTACAACCCAAGTAGTTATTGAGATATTCAAGTTTTTAGAAAAATTGACATTTTCTGGTGGTGAATGAGGACGAATTAGCGTTTAACCTTGAGTGTGTTATTTTCTAATGGATTGACTTAGAGACACGAAAATTCAGCACAAATACAAGTTGGATCAGGACAGAAAACAGTGCAAGTCCGGACTCTACCAGTCATTTTATTATCAAGTTATAGATGGCGCTACCGCTGCTAGTTCACCATTCATCTCGTGCGTAACCAGCTCAGTAAGCCTCAGCCTTTCAGAGTGGATACTAGAAGAGTGGAGTGATAAAACGGCAAAAGAAATACTTTGGACTTCCAAGAAGAACGCGAGATATTAAATTTTTAGTGAAATTTCGGCGTCGACGGATAGACTTAAGCCATATAAAACCTACGACCATTTGCATCGGCCTTTGACGTCAGTGACGCTCATTTGATAGAGCTCAGCAAGCTGAACCGAATGGTAAAAACCGCAAGTCTCTAGCCGTGTTACAAAAAACGTATAACCATTTTATCCACGCAGCGGAAAAATGCATCTTCGTGATTTTTCGGCGGCTTTCGCCGAACTTGTAGGACGTCTGCGAACCACATTACCTAACGCAGAACCTTGAACTTGGTATTAAATGGAAAGGCGCGTCGAGTTCTATATATTTCCAGGAAGAAAAGTTAGGCTACACCTTGGGGTCCTGAGACTTCTGAAATTTCTCGAAAAGCCGGTTTTCTAGAAAACCTAGTAATCTTAAAATTCCTTTCAGAAGTTTTTCAACCATATCATTGGATAGCCCCTTCGATTCTCCGCAAAATGAGATGCTGGTCGAGTTTCTACAATCTTGGACGACCGAGTTACAGGCTTTTCACATTATATAAATTCATTCCTTTTGTTGCCATTTTCGAGCCGTGCCGTATTTTCTATGCCAAGTTTTGAGATAAAAACTCGACCAGCATCTCATTTTGTGGAGGAGTGGTAACGGTAGCGCCATCTATAACTTGATAATAAAACGACCGGTAGAGTCCGGACTTGCACTGTTTTCTGACCTGATCCAACTTGTATTTGTGATGAATTTTCGTGTCTCTAAGTCAATCCATTAGAAAATAACAAACTCAAGATTAGATGCTAATTGGTCCTAATTCACCACCAAAAAAAATGTCAATTTTTCTTAAAACTTGAATATCTCAATAACTACTTGAGTTGTACAGAAGCGGATGTTTACCATTCAGTTGAAGGAATGATCGTTTGAAGCTCCTGTCAAAGTTCCTCAATTGAATAAAGCCTGTTTTTTTCTTGGTGTAGAAAGTTTCGTCTCTGGATATTTTCAGGCATCGGATACTTCATCTATGCAGCTCTTCATTCAACGGGGAACTCAGAACTCTATAGAAACCTTAAAAATTTCACCTTTAACCATATCGGACTTGTAATTTTGTAAGATTTCTATGGATTGCTGAGTTGTCCTTTGAACGAAGAGCTGCATAGATGAACTGTTCGATGTCTAGAAATATCGAAAGGAAACTTTCTACACAAGGACAAAAACAAACCTTGCGTAATAGTGGTAACTTTGACAGGAGCTTTAAACGATCATAGTTAGATCATAGTTTCCTTAAAATTGAGTCGTGTTTGATGCGTCTCAGTGTGAAGCCGCTGGCCGACTTCATCTTAAAAAATTTCACCTTCAAACACGTCTGACTTGTGATTTTTTAACATTTCAAGCAATTAAAACAGAGATCGCAGTTATGCAAATATGGGAAGATGTCTGTATTATAATTGTTTTCATGTTAGAATGAAAGCTCTATGTAAGAACTTAAAGACAAGAAAGGCACAGGAAAAGGCTTCGCAAGTGGCTCTCCATTGAGACGCTTCAAACACCATTCAACTGAAGGCAACTATCATCATTTAACACTTCTGTCGAAGTTACCTCAGTTGTATAAAGCTTGTTTTTGTCTTTCCGTAGAAAGCTTCCTCTCTGAGTATCCCTCGGCGTCGAATACTTCATCTACGCCGCTTTTCGTTCAGAAGACAACTCAGAAGTCCATAGAAATCTTAAAAGTTTTTGTAGATCTCCAACAGTTCCGAAACCCATCTCCATCGAACTTCCATAGTCGACTACCTATTCCATGTCATTCTCATCGAATTGAAATAAAGTTTTCGACCAATAGAATCGATGCTAGAGGTGGCTGATAGTCATTTTCGGATTCCCCATAGTCGATTACCTCTAGTGCCAAAGTTTCATGATTGTATGTCTCTTCCTGGATGAGAAAATAAGGTTTTCTCTCTTGCGGACAGACTAGAGTTGGAACCGGTCAACAGGTCTTTACGAGTTCTCTTTCTTTTTGGGGACATGGACATATACGCCGTTCTTTTTTTTCTCGTCCGTGTCCGCAAAAAGAAAGAGAATGGGTAAAGACTGGTTCCAACTCTGAGGCAAACAGACAGACATTTTCGGAAATATAACCATTGCTTTCAGTCAAGGGAACAAGATGAATTCTACTTTGTTGAATCGTTACTACCTGAAAAATTTATTTCCGGTTCTAAGTGAACCAACGATCTGCTCTAAGTTTGAAGCCGATACCGCGGTTTTTCTCGTTTCGGTTCTAACTTGAGAACCCGAATCACACGGTTTTGGGCTCAACGGACGATAAACGCTGGTCTCGCCTAGGTCCATCTTCACTGAGTAGAGACGATAGAGTATTCAAAATTTTTTCTCATAATATACTCATTTTGTGCTTTTAATTGCCACTATAATAAATCATTTCGAGTTTCTCAACTCTTCAACTACTGTGGTAATATTTTCAATCACCGTCCTCCTGCTCTCTAACTGTTATTTGAATGGAACAAGCGATGTTTATTAACCATAACTTTATCTCAGTTCTTAAACGAATCTTTCTGCGAAATTTTTATTTGTTTTTACTCATTTTTGATTTTACAGTACAATGAAAAACGTTTATTACACGCAGAAAGATTCCGAAACGGACACAAACATCGCCATGTACTCCAGTATAGCGAATTAGCCACATTGCACATACTTTGAAGAATTTCTGCAATGAAAGGCGCTGGGGCAGAGTGGTTCCAGTAAAATGCTTATCATTCACGAACCAATAGCTAGCGACGCCAGACTTGGCAGATTGGTAGAGGACACTTAGGGCTATCATTTATGCAAATGAAAGATAGAGAAGAGGAAGTCTTCTTCGTCGTTCACATCCAGCTGTCTATTTCAAACCAGATTCAAAGTGTTTTGATGTGTTCTTAGAATGAGAATGTTGTCAAGTTTTTAGGAGAAGGCTAATGATTAAATTCAATGTTTCGGATTCCAACGTCTAAACAACAGATTGTTTATCGGAGCCTATAAAATGGAGATGCTACAATACTGTGATACCCGTACTTCTTCAAATCAAAAGTTATGCAATTTTCAATTGATGATAGTCGTAGTGGTAAAAAGCATCTACATGTGGATAGAAACGAATATTCATTACAGAGAATAAATAAAAAAGGTGCTCATCATTGGCAATGTATAAGGTAAGTTCATCATCAGAGGAAAAATTATAAGCTCTGAAATTTATAAGCTGTCTTCCTTGGTAGACGTGTTCCGGATTTCGATTTGTGTGTAGCCAAAACGGCATTAGCTATTGGCGAAATAGAGTTTGAAGATTATCTTCATCATGTAAGACGCGTAGCATATAAGTATATTTTTGAGGTTGGTGGAAAAAAGGACGTTTAAACTTATATTACAAGCTTTTTTTTCAATATCATGTCTTAATTGTGCTTTTTCCTTTTGATTAATTATCGTTCTTTTATTAACAACATCTGATTACTTTTATAATGTAACAATCTATATTTTTTTCTAAACTAATTGGCTTGCAAAATGGGAGATTTTTTCGTCCATATTTTGGCTTGCAAAATGGGAAATACGAAAATGTATAAAAAGTCAATTAGCTTGCAAACTGGGAAGCGACCATAGTTACATGTGGTATTAACTTTTTGCATAATTTCCAGATATGATTAATTTTCTTCGCTAAATGTCATTATAAGACCGAAAAATCGAAAAAGCATATTTTTGTTATTGGATTTTCCAGAAATCCTTTTGGAATAGCTTAGGGTTTTGTAAAATTTCTTTTGAGATCTCATATAAATGGGATATAGAATAGCTTAAATACTCTACACTCTGAAATTTTGAACTCGCTCTGATGTTTATTGAGTGAATAATGAATTTTTTAATATTAGGTGTACACAAATTTTCGTAACACTGGCTTTTCGGTAGATCAAAGATCTCCCACAAAATACTTCTGAAAAGGTTTCTGCTTATGAAAATATGTCTCCAAGTCTCCTCTTTCGCATGGCGAAGCCGGAGCTCTCTAGCTGGCTTCTATCAAAATTTATTCAAAAAACATCCGACTACTTTTTATTTTGAAATGTAGTTGAGAAGAAAGAAGTACTTTTTATACTATCTTATTACGGGCAAGAATCCGTGATTTTATCACAACACGTTAGAACATTATGTAAAAGGTTATTACCACATGTAACTATAAATAAAAAGGCCATTCACATTGGAAAATACCTTTCTTCTGTTTTGAACTTTGTCAATCACATCATTCGAAAGATAGCTATGAAAATAGTTTTCGTACACTTTCAAACTGCTTCTAAATCAAAAATCGTATTGTCTAGCCAAAATTGCAACTGGAATGCTGCAATCTATCATTTCATTAATTCAAACGCTCTTTCGCGCATAAAAACATACAACTGACATACCAGTTGATGCAGTTCGATACGCCGACTCTAAATATATCATTAGTTTTTAATGAACGTGTTTCTGGAGGTGAGAAAGATGGATTTTACTTGAAAAAACAAGGTTTCTTGGAAAACCTGTAACTCAGACCGGGACCATTTATGCATCTTTATACTATCTGTAAAGATATATCATAAGTAGAAGGATATTCTGTGGAAGTCTTTACGAATTTGGAGCTGTGGAAAAGTGTGGAAACTCATTATACTGAACACGGCTTTTGGCAAAGCCTTTAGCAGAGAAAGAACAATTCCTTTTTCGGTATAAAAACAGAAACGTTTTTTACGGATTCGATAGACCAGAAGACATAGTTTCAGAATATGTACGTATCATCCATAAATACTTTGCACATTTCATAAAAAATATTATGCTTTGGTATACCCTACGTTTTCTAGCCTAGTTTTCGCGCTACCATTTTCTACTCTAATACAGAAGCCGGAACAAACATTTTTACGCTATTAAGTAGACCATGAATCAAAGTACATACGACATTACTCAAAACTTCAAAAATCTCGCTTTCATTTTTTCACTTAATGTTCATTTAGTTGCCCATTGTGCAACTCTCATACCAGGAGTGAACATGTGACAACAAAGTGCAATATTGTTAATCTTCAACTTTATTGAGAGAGATAATCCGAAAACTATGCACTATATAAACTTTATTTCGATCACAAACTTCGAGATGGAACAATCGATCAAAGTTAGAGGGGACATCGATAACTAACGTACTGCTAGAATCATTTCTTTTGTAATTTTGTTAGTGTTTGTAGACAGATCAAGATCAATAAATTGCTATTATCATCTGGTTTATTTAATAATAAAAATCTTAAACTTGTTTGTTTAGTTAATGAATCTCTTTGTTGACGATTTTCTACTACATGACAATCGAATCATCAATCAAATCTATATTATACCAAGCAGACTCAAAATTTTTTATAATTTTATTAATGTTGTATCATTACTATGAGAAGTTAATAAATTGTCATTTGTCATCTTTGATGCTTGTTCACGTGTTAGACGATGATTAAATTTTTGTAATAAATAACTAATAAATTCAATTAAATAACATAAATATCTGGTATTTTTAAATTCTTTTAAACGTTTAAGAAGAAATGTTGTTTATGAATATAATTTTTCAGCATATGATAATGATCTAATTTGTAACTGAAATTCATCAAAAGGACTTTTTCATTTAACTTGTTGTATTAAAAAAATTTAATAATGGATATTGATATTCATTTTCAAACAGTTCATCAATATAATTTGTATATGTTGATCTTAATATTGTCGTATGAGTAAATTCAATATATTGTTTTTTATATTCATGAATTTTGTTAATTGTGTATTTTAAATGTGATAGAATTAGATTTTGTTCAAAAATTTCTTGAAATTTTAGCACATTTTCATTTGTATTTAATTCACCTTGAATATTACAAATATTTAACATATGATTAAATAATTTATATAACCATATAGAACAGTCCTTATTTAAACTCTGACATAATATTTTATAATGATTTTTAAAATGATTATGATTTAATATATCATGTTTTGATATTTTATATATATGAAATCAATTAAAACATGTAACACTATGAATTATCATATGAAGTAAACAAAGTGTAATTGGCGAATGAATATGATCAGATTGATCGTTATTTTTGTTATCATTATAACTGAGATGAATATTTTCACGATTATATTTATTAATATAAATACAGTACTCCGCAAAAGTAGCAAGCCCCCTGTAACCTCTTTTACCGGATGATTCGTGAGATATAAGCGATTTATGTCTTTTTCGTACAATATCAATAGCTCCTGACCTAAGACAGGTGAAAACTTTTTCTTTCTACTAAAATGTAGCCACGACTCCACTGTATCTACGATATAAAATTTTGTGAGTTGGCTGTTAGGAGTCAGTGAAATACAGCTATTTTACGGGCAAGGTCCCGAATAATGAGTGTTCATGCCAAACAGACGTACGAATCAACAAGGAATTTAGAGGAACACCGAAAAATGGTTCGAGCAAAATCTTACAATGCAGTGTACGAACATGAAAAAACATCAAAAAAAGATAAAGAAGATGGTGCCTGAACAATTATGTGTGTGAGAAGAGAGTTTATACATGCGTAATTATACTCCGCGTACAAAAGTCACATATATTGTTTTATTCGTTCTGTTATTTTAATTAAAATTTATTATTTCTTTTGACTTTGCTATTTTCTCTCATTTTATTATCACAATTGGGACATTTATGTTGGGACATGACTTTATTATCTCTTTTGAAAGATTAAATTTAGGGCTTTTGTTGTAAACGCCATAACTCTGCAAAGAAAGGTCTTGTGGAGCTGGAAGATGTCTCATTTTGATCAGACTTTCGCGGGCTACACTAGCGACTTATCTGAGAAAAATGTTAGGGATTTTTCGAGGTTTCTGGAAAAAGGGTTTCTCAGAAATCAGCCAGAAGCGGCCTATGAACCCAAATGAATATCACATTCGAAATTAGCATGGTCGATTACCTACAACCTACTACATTTCGCTAAAAAAACGAGAGTACATTTGGGGAGGTTCCCTCGTTAGTTTATTGTCTCATACAGGGATAAGTGAAAATATAAAGTATAACCGTTAAAAAACAAAACATAATCCATCAGGTAATTAAAAGTACTATTTTGACATAAATAAATTTTATTACAAAAATATTTTCTAATCATGTACTCAGTGCAGCTAGATAAATCGATTCTTTTTACTCATTTAGCTAGATACGTCCGGTGAATCGCCCGATTCACCAATGAGTGCAACTAGTGTTTTTTGCTAAGCTGGTTTTGCTTGATTATAGATTAAAAAAACAGGTTTTCATTAGACGACCTCAAAATGTTTGTCCTTCAAGTATTTTAGGCAACTTTCAATAGTGCGTTTTAAACTTTGGTTGGTCTTGGTGTGGTTTGTGTGTTGATGCTGAAAATATGTTTTGTAGTATTCCAACACCTATCTCTAAATATTTTGGATGAATAAATGTAAATATAAAAACTTGTGTAATTACTCCAAAACAGTAAACAAACAATTTGATTTGCCAATCGTTCACGGGCATGTCGAATTAAACTTTTCTGCAAATTTGCCGTTGCTATTAAATAACAATTCCAAATGACGTAGGGTAATGTTGAAAAACCTGATTTAAACGTTTGTAAGAGGAACATAGTGGTTAACTGCTCATTTAGTTGTTGTAAACCATTTGATTTTGTTATTGATCGTTGACGAATATTTCTGACGTTACGGCACGTTAACAGTCCAAATGTTACCATTAGAAGCAATGGTAATAATCCGTTGATAATACATTTGTAAAATATTTCAGTAACAATACATGCGAAATGATATTTCCATGAACAAGTCAAACCTTGGATAATTGTTGAATTATATTTAGTAGAACAATTAAGTACTGGTATTGATAGAATAGACCAAAATATAATTGTAATGGTAATAATACGTTTTGCCATTTTTCTTGTACTGTATATCCACACATCAACATCTTTTGTACTTAATATATACCGATCCATACTTGCCAACGTAACGAATGTGGCTGCAATTGCTATGATTACATAATTAACGTATGTTTTTAATTTACAAAAGAGTAATGTTTCTATCGAATAGTTAAATCCGACTTCGATTAAGTTTGATAATGGACCACAGTTCATATGAATAAAATCGCTAACCGACGCAGCTAATAAATACATCGAACATGAACTTTTACTTATTGTCTTTCGAGAAAACATTACTATGTTCATTAAAGAACTGATTACGCATATGAGAAACAAAGCACTACCAACAGATATTGTTAATAATTGGGCAAAAGAGTAATAGAAATTAACAATGGAAGAAGAATTCGAGAATGATTGCATGTTGTGTATTGAAATGACGAAACTACCAATAATGACAAAATCTCCTCTTTATATGACAATGCAACGATTTATTTTTCACTCGTTATGCGTATATATTAACGAGCATACATGTTCTGTTTCTTTCTACGCTGTTAGTTTAATGAGTCGTTTTTCCTTATTATAGAAATAAAAAATGAAATTAGAGAACTTTTACAGTGGAAGATTAATCTTTCTAGTATTTTTTTTTACTGAATATGTGAAGGGGTAAATTTCAAATAAAACTTCAAAAACAGATGTCAGCGAGTTAAAAGACACGTAAGAGTTCATTTCTCCAATTATCTGTCAACTAGCGTGAGATGATGAAAAGAACATGTGAATGTCACATGATTTTACTAATGAATCTTGATGATGTATTTGCTCGATTTTTAGTGTTTCATGAATAAGAAAATATTATACAATTTTTATCTGATTCAAATATCAAAGGGAAATAAAACACTCACGCAAAAGATAAATTTGCGCTTTTATTTCTCTCGCCACGGGTATCTCAGTTATACTATTCGATACAAAATTTCTAGAAATGCTGATTCAGAACATGGGAAGATAGCAAAGCAAAATAGATTAGTTTAATAATCCAAAGTAACTAATAGAGAAATGTTTCTCTCTTAGTAATAATCTCAACAGAATAGTTTTTTGTCATGTATCAACTCAATGATACAGTACTTTATACTTTACAGTAATTCACATGCCAGAAAACTGAATTTGTAGTGTAGAAAATAGCAGAAGAAGTAGTAATCTCTATACAAATAGCTCTTTGATTTATTAATCATACACGAATGAGTGATAACGAAGATAAGAAGTGTATATATACTCTTTTAATTCCTAATTAAATACATCATCAAGATTCATTAGTAAAATCATGTGGTAGTCACATTTTTTTTTCATCATCCCACGTTAGTTGACAGGCAATTGAACAAATGTACCCTTATGCTCTGGAGTTGGAATCAATAATCAGCACCATCTGGCGCATGCTAAGATAACAGTATGTGAAAATGAGGAGGAAAAACGTCTGAGCTCTGATTTAATATCGCATAATGAGCACTCATTGATTAATCATTATAAATACTCTCGATTTCAGAATAAACACAAACATATTTTCTTTTTTTTATTACAAGAAAATTTCCTACAACTCGTATTTGGAAAGCTTTGTATTCTTCTTGCTCTCTTTCACTAACTTGGCTCCCAAATCTCCAGGTACTTGACTCTTCGTAACAGAACGCCTTCTTCCGCTGAATTTACTCCCAAAGTCAAAATTTGAGACTCAGATTTTCAGTCGATTCCTCAGGTCATGACAATAAATCAGTATGTTTTACTCGTAAATTTAAAGAAGTTATGTCTCATAGCCACGGATGAAAAACAAGTGTTATAGCTTTTGTCTTCGCTATCATAGGATAACACAAAACGTTTTTTTTTAAGATTTTCATTTAAAAGTTAGTGACTAATGGAAACAACTGAATCGGAAAAGTGTATTCGAAAAAAACAAAGAACAGGTGATTTAGTTGTTTTTCACAATTAAGTGTCTGCAAGTTAGAATAGGAAACACTTCGAGGAACGAAACAAATATTTAACTCTATTGCAACAAAACCCGTCTCTGCTTCTTGTGCTTCGCGGCCTCTCTGAGTATCCTGTCATACTTTCTCAGGCTATTATTGAACATAGGCCATTTGTAATACGGAAAAAAGAATTTATTTATAGGTGCGCGAAAAATGTTAATTTTGTTATTTGCTGTAGTTCAATCGAAATTGCATTCCATTGTCTTACAGTCCAGAGAAAGAAAATATTTCTGAATTTTTGTGTGTGTACACGAAAAGAATTTATTCGATCTGTCTGTTGAGCATAACATCGTGTTTAACACTTGTTGTTGAAGAATCCTTTGAATAAGAAATCTTGGAGTTAGATGCCATTTTATTTTGAAAAAAAGTAAAAGTTTATTAATGGCATAAGTGTGTTCAATCGAGACATCGTAGAATTTTTAATACTTTATCCCTTAAACTGAGACGTATAGCACCGTTAACAACTGGTGCTGCCGCATACTGTAAATTAACGATGGATTTGAGATACAATGGTACATTGTCCGTATTACGTTTTGTGGGATGTGTTTATTTTATCGATACATACACAGTATCTGCATAGGTTATTATTGGCATAATATACGACTTACAAATCTGATGAAGCGTATAATTGCTTAAAAGGTGTTTGTATCTTCACATGAGGTGAAAAAGATAAAAACACTTATTTATGACTTCGGTAACATGTAATGACCAATTTAAAGATTTGATCATAGCAAATCAGGCTGATTTTTTTGGGGGACGGTTTAAAGAAAGACAGCATATTTTGATTCCTTTTTGCATGTAAATTCCAAATCTGAGATTTGTTTTCTGATGAAACGTCTAGTTTTTGAAAAAGAAGCGAAAAGTCGTTTTTACGTTGAAATTAGGTATTTTTCGTCTTCTCCTTTTCTCTCTCTCTCTTTCTTTCTTTTTTGTTCGTTTCACCATTTTCATGATGAACGGAGAGAATGAGGAAGAGAACACCTATATACCCCTATATCTTACACCTATATCTTGTACAGCTATTTTCTTCAAACATTGACACAAAAAACAAGTTTCGTAACTATAAGCGAAAGCAAATTGCTTTCAGGACAAAGCAAGCATAAACGTCCCCATTGCACAGCTTCAAATATGGCCGAGTTTGGCAAACACTCAGCGTTTGATCCGGCCAGGGGTGCTAGAACATTGAATCAACAACACCAAGAAATTGGTGTTGTCGAAACCGGGCTCTGGATATCAGCACGAACCTCTTTTCCGTACAAAACTACAGTAAGTTCAACTACTCCTGCATTTCGATGCTAGTGTGGAAATATACTAATCACAGATGTATTGATTTTATGATTATACTAAGCATTATCGAGTCAGTTATATTTGCGTTCGGTTTGGAAGAAAACCGTATATGTATTCTGATCCAGTTGCTTACGTAGATTCAGAATCCGGCGTCTGTTTTCAGGTGCAAAGTGTAGTTCTCGAGAAATAGAGGGGAAACTGGCTTTACACGGAAATTAACGACTTTTATTGCTTCCTCTCTTTTTTTTTCCGTTCGGAATATATATGTTTTTCTTTCCACTTTCTCGTATTAGTCACATCTTGGAGCCTATCTAACTTAGATAGACTCCAGGATGTGACTATCGAAGAATTGTAAAAGAGATGTGCCTAAAAAGACTTGTGACATTTTTGTTTCTTTCTCAGCATGGCTACACATTTTTTTGGATTAAAAGGTAAGGCGCCGCTAATTCAAAAGATTTGCAAGTTCTTATTTTTCACTTAAAACTATATCATTCGATGCAAAATTTCACGGTGATTACGAATATCACCTTTTGAATTGATTTT